CCTCTCTGGGCAGCCTGTCCCAGGGCTCTGTCATTCTCACAGCAAAGAAGCTCTTCCTCATCTTGAGGTGGAACTTCCTGGGCTCCAGTTTAAATCCATTGCCCCTTGTCCTATCACAGGGCACAAGTGACAAGAGCTTGTCCCTGCCTTCTTGGTGCCCTCATGTATTAATAGACATTAATTAGATCCCCCCTCAGGCTTCTTCTCTCTGGGCTGAACATCCCCAGGTCTCTCAGCCTTTCCCCATCAGACATGTATGTGGTGGGATTCCCTGCTCACCCAGAACAGAGTGAGTTTCCAGGCATTTCCCCAGCTTGGCTCTGCTCCCTAAATCCCAGGGATACAGGTGGATGCTCCTATTCCCTGGTTGTCCCTTTCCAAGATCCTATTGTATTAACCCACTGGGCTGTGTCAGCCTTGCTGGTCAATGGCTCCTGGCTTTGATTTTGTGTTTAATCACCCAGTGCACCCATTGGCAATAAATCTGGCCTTTTAAGTCATGAAATAAGGCAGATCTCTGCAATGCCACCAAGACAGGCAGGAACTGCACAGCTTTCCCACTCTTGGATTAAATCTTTCCTAACTTTGTGTGCATGGAACCTACCATGGGTTTTGGTGCCTGCAAAGGCATCAGCCCTGTCTGCTCCTGCACAGGATGCTGTTTGCAGGAGGAGGCAGTGATGGCTCACCTCGAGGTGCTAGTTGAGTTAACCCAGTTTGGATCAGGCTGGTTGGCTACTTGGCTTTAGCAAGTCTGATCTCAGCAGGTGGATTTTCCTGCTGCCTCTGGGAGATGGTATCTGCACTCAGCTGAGCTCCAGGGGCTTAACGGGGCGAAACCAAGTGTCCCCAGGGCAAACCAACCTGAGATCAGATCTTCTTGAAGCCAAACAACCCCTCTCAGAGGCTGGTGCTCAACCTCATCATCAAATTATCCTTTGTGCAGAAGATGGGCAGCAGCAGAATAATGAGAGCCTGGCCCAGGTTGCCCAGGGAAGCTGTGGCTGCCCCATCCCTGGCAGTGTTGAAGGGCAGGTTGGATGGGGCTTGGAGCAGCCTGGGCTGGTGGGAGGTGTCCCTGCCCATGCAGGGGGGTGGAACTGGATGATCTTTTGGGTCCCTTCCAACTTAAAACATTATATGAAATAACTGCATGTATTCTTTTCCCCCTATGAATTTGCCTTCTCTATAAGCCCAAAACTGCAGAAGGTGGTTCAGGGAAGGTTGGTGGGATGGGGTGTCAGGTCCACACAGGCCTTTCTTCTGGGCACTGGGTGGCATCTGTGCCATGAAAGCTGGTTCCTGCCTGGCACTGAGCACAGAGAGGAGCCTTGCTGAATGGGGGAGGAAGCTTCTGGCACCAGCAGAGCAGCCTTTGCCATCCATTTCATCCAGAATAATCCCAACTGACCAGCCTGACACAACCACCCTGTGATACACCAAGGCAGCCCCCAGCGTGTGCTGGAGCCCACAGCAGAGACCTAATCATTTCTCCACCTAATTAAGCAAACCAGCAAATGGCAAACAGGAGCTGGCTGGGTTTTAATTGCTGGGATTCTCCTAGAAAACAGGTCCCCAGGCTCTGCTCCCAACCCTGCTCCAGCATGAAGGGGCACAGAGGCTCCAGCATCCCTGGGCTCTGCAAATCCCAGTATGGGGAAGCTCCAGAGGGAGAAGCAGGGTTGGGAGGAGGTGGTGATGCAAGGAGTGAGTTGGTTTCCTTGCCCAGAACCAATATCTTTTGTTTCCAGCAGCTTTTGGGGCATTTTCACAGCTACATTTTTAAATGAAATGGAGGGGGAGGTGGGTTGGGTTGGGGGGGTTTCCCACAGAGTAGGCTGGAAAAAAAGGACAGAAATTTTAAAAATGTTTGGACATAACACATGAATTCTGTGTCTGTGGAAGGAGCTAGAGACCCACTGGTGTTTATCCCTGGAGCTTTCTGTTTTCCCAGTCTGCAGACTGGTCCCAGTCTTCCCCTCCTCCCTGCAGCCAGTGCTCTCACTCCCACCTGCTGAAGGGCAGGAAAAGCAGGAGCAGCTACTGCTGGGAGGGATCCTGGGGGATACAAGGATCAGGCTGGGATCTGTCAGAGATTGCAGCTGATATGAGACCTCTGCCAAACTTGTCCAGGCTCCAGCATTTCCAGACACTTCCCAGTCCTCACAGAGATCCCAGATGTTCCCATGTCTCACCATTGGAGGGTTTACCAGTGCTCCTTCCTATTCCACTGTGCCTGGTCAAGCCTTTTCCCGTTGCCCCTGCAAGGCAAATCCCATCTTTTTTCCAGTATTCCATCAAATACCAGGTGTAAGTTACACAATGATGTTGTTTTTCTTTGCCTTGTAGCCCGGGGCCGTTGTCAGGATGGCAAACTTCAAGGGTCATGCACTTCCAGGGACCTTCTTCCTCCTCTTTGGGCTCTGGTGGTCTGTGAAATACCCACTGAGGTACCTGAGCCAGAAAGCAGCCAAGAAATCCCACAAGATTTATGTTTTCCAGCGTGTGGATGCCATTGAAGGGAGCATCAAAATCATCTTTGCTCTGATAGGTAAGGGTCATGTTTTATTAACTGTGCTGGGAAGTTCCCAGCCTGAAGCCACAGCTGGACTGGAGCTCTGACTCCAGGGAAAGTGGTTTGGATGTGGAAGGATCTGGCCTTGATGTCCATCATGTGTTGACCTCTATTAGAGGTTGATGTCAAATGACCAAGTCATCATAGAATCATAGAATGGGTTGGGTTGGAAGGGACCTTAAAGACCATCCAGACCCAACCCCCCTGCATGGGCAGGGACACCTCCCACCAGCCCAGGCTGCTCCAACCCCACCCAACCTGCCCTTCAACACTGCCAGGGATGGGGCAGCCACCTTGAAGATCATCTAGTGGATCATCTGGGTGGTCTTTCACGTCCTTTCCAACCCAAATCATTCCATGAGCTAAAGACCATCCAGACCCAACCCCCCTGCATGGGCAGGGACACCTCCCACCAGCCCAGGCTGCTCCAAGCCCCATCCAACCTGCCCTTCAACACTGCCAGGGATGGGGCAGCCACAGCTTCCCTGGGCAACCTGGGTCTCCTCACCCTCGTGACCCCTCCCCAAAGCTATGCAACCATTAATTTTGCATTAGTATATCCAGCCTTTTCCCCCTAACACAAACCCATCAGCTCTCCCTTCAGCACCTCCCCTTCCCCACCCCACGAGCAGCACCAACCACCCTGGTGTACGAACCCCCCGCTCCTGCTGCCCACGCAGGGATGTTGGCCGAGCAGTTTGTCCCGGATGGGCCCCACCTGTACCTGTACACGGGGGAGAGCCGTGCCTGGGTGAAGCTGATGAACTGGCAGCACAGCACCATGTACCTGTTCTTCGGGCTGGCGGGGGTGCTGGAGGTGCTGAGCTGCCTGTGCCCCGGCGCGGCGCCGCGGGGGCTGGAGCGCCTGGCGCTGGCCCTGGCCCTGCTCGTGGAAGGTCAGTACGGGGTGAAGATTTAAGGGGTGTTGGAAGGGGAGTTGGGGAGGGACAAACATTTGCCAGGCTGTGGTTCTGCTCTGAGCACCTCCTGAAGCATGAATGGGTTGGGAAGAGTCTTAAAGATCATCCAGTCCCACCCCCCTGCATGGGCAGGGACACCTCCCACCAGCCCAGGCTGCTCCAAGCCCCATCCAACCTGCCCTTCAACACTGCCAGGGATGGGGCAGCCACAGCTTCCCTGGGCAACCTGGGCCAGGCTCTCACCACCCTCACA